TAAAGGAGTGACGAAGAGAAATGCATCATTATATGCTCTCGATCTTCAGCAGTTGATTACATAAGCAACTATAATACGAGTCGTCAACTGATAGAACATTTCAATTATTGTATTTAGGTATAAAATAAAATAATTTATCTACTTTGTAATATAGTAAAAAGTAATATGACATGTATATAGCCTTCTAAACACACTGATGTAATTATTACAAGTTGATGAAATAACTTTTACAAATATTGTAAGCTATTTGTATAGATAGTCTAAGTATGACACACATATTATATACTTATAGTATACTTTTATTGAGATAATAGTGATACAACAAGTGCTCTTACCCTATTATATACATTAATATACCTTTTGCATAAATTATAAGGTAACAATTATTATTCTTATATTATTATATTGTAAATATCACCCTTTCTTTGAAATTATAATAAAAATGTAATGCAAGCATAATACTTTAGGCTATTATACAAAGTTAGTATAATACTTGTAATAGATTGCATTCATCCATAACACTTACTTAGCCTTTATATACATTAACATGTATATTACAAACTTTACAATTGATTTGCAAGTCTTGTAATTACTTTACAATATATATACAATACTTATGTTACTTTACAAAGTCTACAATATATTATAAGAAATGTGACTTTTTCCTGATGTTTTTCCCTTCATGTTGGTTTATACTAGCCTTCATCTCATGAACACATGTTTACTGTGTAATAAAAGGCTTGAATGGGCGATTGTTTACAGGCTTGGGGACCATGATTATTTTGCTAGCTGAAGGTAAGTGTCGTGCTTAAACTATGCAAGATTCATAACAGAGTACATACTTACCAGATACAGTCATTCTTCAAATGCGCGTGCATGCCTTGTTTGGGAACAAAAAGAAAACACTTATTGCGTTCACAGTGTTAACAGTAACGCTGTTTGGGTTCAACATTCTTCAGCTGACTCAAATACTAAGTAACGGTGCCCGTATCTTGTTTTTGATAAATAATAAACTGATTGATCCCATTATTAAGATGGTGCCGAAGCAGGGAGAATATTTGGACATGACCTCTCTTTGGACTTTCATCTGGAGTTTTCCAACTGTATGCTAGCAGATGATATGTCCGGCATCGCATGGTCTGTAACAGCCTCTCTAGAGTTTCTTCTGCTCCTTCTAGTGCTTTGGAAGGCGAGACGGATAAGGAAAAACAATCCTCCACTGTGCTGCTTCCGGAGTGAGCATGAACAGCGCGAGGACATTATCTCTCTCATGGCAAGAGACTCAGTTGTATATTTCGTTGTGTAAGTATTTTAGTGTTCTCTTCATTTTGGCTTTCCGTATTTTCGCAAGCTGACATATTACAAACTATAAACAAACAAAGTATATTTACCTCATGCCTTTTTGGAGCCGTTCTTGTATTCGTATTGAACAGGGGAATATTTGTAAGCCCATCCTTCCCTTTTTTGCTTGATCCCTTAATTATCCTTTGCGTACCATTACTTTTAGAGTAACAATGTGGACATCTACATAAGTTACGCAAGGAACGCCTATCAGACGGTCGTAATAACTTTGGCAACAACTCTTGCACCAAAGCTCCTTATAAATATCCGGGCAGAATGTTATGGTCCAACAGGGACAATAGCAACTCAGCTCACTTGGAACCCTGGCGAGCTAAGGGATGGTACTGTTACATTTGAGAGTAGATTTGCTGCGCAGTTGTCGCAGTAGGGGGTGATAATAATGATGCACTGTAACCCGTCTCGTGATGATGATTCGTCTCCGTAAACTACAGCCATCTCGTAATTTATTTATGTGCTCTTCGTTACTCTCTGATCTACATATGATCCTTCAGTTCGAGATTGCAGCCAACCCAGCCTTAACAGCAGGCCTCGCTTCAATACGGTCCACCCACGCCTTAACCTTCGGGAACTCGGAGAACGAAAGTCCGACACGGTCAAGTGCGCGGGCCCAGCCGAAAGCCTTGATATCAGCGATACTGTATTCATTCCCGACGAGGTAGTCTTGTTTTGAGAGACGAGATTCAAGGACGCCGTAGAGACGTTTTGTCTCGTTTTGGTAGCGGTTGATGGCGTATGGGCTTAAATGGTGGGAGAGGCGGTTAGTTTAGTGGAGAGATGGGATAGGGGAGTTGAAGCTGACAGAGAGACTGGTAGAGACTTACATCTTCTCTGGGATGAAGCTGAAATGACCTGCTTGGCCTTGCATGGGACCGACACCGCCGTGCTGAGAAAACATTTATTTAGCCGCCCATACTTTCAAATCTTACACTATGGTGTTAAAAATTACTTACAACGAAGAATAACCATTGCAAGACTTCACTATATCCCTTCGGGTCCTTCACAGCATCACGCGAGAAGATATTCTCCTTGTCGTATTGTTGAGCGAGGTACAAGAGGATAGCAGAAGTCTCGAATACGGGGAAGCCTTCGTGTGTGATTGTAGGGATTTTGCCGTTAGGATTGAGTTCAAGGTACCAGGGAGACTTGACTTGGTTGTGTACTTTGCCAATGTCGGCGTCGCGGATGCTCATGGAGACGACACTGGATAGAAAATAAGTCAAAGGATGAGTTTTCGGGTAGAATAGGTATGATATGGATTGTGTGGGAGTGTGGAAGTAAGGCTTACTCGTAGTCGGGCTGTCCGTACTTAGCCTGTGTGGCACGGTGACATTTCGCTAAGTGAGATCAATGCTGTCAAACAAGACAAGACGCACCTTCAGCTCCTCAAGGAAGATCGCAGGTACGATCCCGTTCGGGGTAGTCTGCGTGTACAAAACAATCTGTGCATCGCTCTTTGCAGCCATACTATCACTACTAGCAAAAGTCCTGTTGTTCAAGTTCGATGACAAGCGACTCAAGGTGAGATGGGAGGAAACGAGAGCAGCTCTTCGTGTTGTGGTGGAAGATAAAGATAAAGGGAGAGTGGAGCGTTGTAAGACTGTCTTAAATGGACGACCGAGCATGACTGAAGACCATATTCAGGAGGAAATTGGAACCTTAAACTAGTGCCCGAGATGGCGATGGTATAAAGGTTCTAAAGAAGCCCTTGATTGTTCAGCAAATGAGGAAGCCCGAGTCGCAGATGAGTAAGTAAATGATGCGAAAATTTGCTATACTCCTTATGTTTTGTTTCGTTTGCCGTCCGAGACCGGGAGTAATTACCTATCAAGGTTCGAAGAGGTGAATGAAAAATATAGGTGACGTAGAATCATGTGGTCTTCTTTTTACCTCAGCAAGCTTAGCTCATCGAAAGCAAAAAAATGCCTCAGTGAACGGAAAAAACAGCAGGAATACAATTCGGATTCAAAACCACAAATGGATGGTTTACAGCCAATATCTTGTTTACATTTCAAGGCGTCTCCTGGCTGAAGAATAGTAGACAGCGGTTAACAGCACAAAATTCATTATTATTTCACAACATAACTCAATGTCTATGCATACATGCCTTGCAAATTCTTTTCTGTAATATTGTTGATTGACTAACGAATTATTATCGATCTGCACTATTCCACACCCACACGTCTCTTGCAATACGCACATCGCACCGAGCACTATGCGCTACGTACCATGTGCTGTGCTGTGTCCCTTCCCTATGCTAAGGACTTGCTTCGGTAAAGCAGCAAATACGCTGACGCGTCCTCACCTACAAGAAAGACATCCGTTAGTCCATCCTCTTTGATACGTGGAAAAAATCTAAAGAACGCACCTCCACCTTCGAGCGTATTCAACTTATCCTGTGGGAAAATCGACACCTTCTCATCATCAAACTTATACCAATCCTCATCATCCTCCGCAAGTTTACCCTTCTGTCCTTCCTCGTTTCCAACATTCACAGGTAACAACGCGTTTTTCTTCACGAATCCAATATAATGGCCTGAATCGGCTGTTGCACCTTTGTGGGTGACGATCCCCACGAGTTCGTAGAGTCCTGTCCAACTTGAACCTGTATCGGATTTGATAGAATCTGGGACGAGAGCTTCGAGTTCGGCGAGTTCGCGTTCACGGTAGACGCTTTCGGGTTCTAAGGCTCCGCCTTCGACTTCCTTTCCTTTGCCCTTGCTGACGGAAGCTGCGCTGGAAGCAGCTGCTGCGTCTGCTGTCAACGGTTCTGCCAATGCGGGAGCCGGAGTTTGTAAGAGGACGGGAGACTCTGGTCCGCCCAATCCGCGAACTGCATCAGCCATCTCGACGTCCTCCACACTCTGACTCGGTCCGTCTGCGACTGCCTTCGTACGCTTTCGGACTTTCCGACGTTCGGCTCTATCACGCTCGATTTCTTTCAGGCGTTTGTTCACGGGAGTGAGTTTTTCGCGAAGCTCGACAGTACAGAGGTCGAGTACGTCGAGTTCTTGAGGGAAGGCTACTCGGCGCATGATTTTCGCTTTTTTGGCGATGTCACGTTTCCAGGCGAAGCGGACCATGTGGACCATTAGGTTAACTGGGATGCGAGAGAATCGGGAGTGTTGGGTGTAGACGGCTTGACGACCGAGTGAGGGAGAGTTCTTCTCGATTTTTTGGTCCAGGGCGTCCATTATGCCCGTGTGCATGAAGTTGGTCGTTGCGGAGATGTTACATTCGAGCTTGAGCACTTTTTCAGAAGTTATGGTCGGTTCTTCTTCTGGTGCTTCGTCGCATTTTAACCTGTGAGAAGTGAGTGAGTGGTGTACTAGATTTCTAGATTTGAATGTTGTATGTAGACTTACTCTCGGCGCATCTCGGCCATCATGTATTGTTCGACGAATCGCTTGCGCGAGTCGCCTGTACCCGGAATAGCCTGGAGCGCATGACTGATCTGTGTAAAATACTCTTCTGCATCTTGCTGAGCATATCCGCCCATCCCGCCTTTCCCTACACGAGCTAGTTCCCCAAACTGGGGTACAGCTTGGCGCAACACGGAGAGGAACGAGAGAGGAGTGAACGGATCCACAGACGTCCGCAAGCTCGCATACATGTCACTCAAGGCTCGAGTTAACGATGAATTCCCTTCCGAAGTTGACGAGGATGGTCGGAAGGATGTGAGTGCTGTCTGTAGCTCGGGTACTGCACGGAGAACTTGTAGTGTGGCATTCATGTAACACGTGTTCCCGAGATTCTTGAAACCAACGGGAAGTGAAAGCTGCATATATGCTATGTAAAAGGTATCTTCAATGAATAAGAAGTATTTATACGTACTGCTTCGGCGAGCTCGGCGTCGTCCATGTCTTCCGAGCAAAAAAAAAAAATTAGCATAAACAAAGCGCGGAGACAGAGTGAACTTACCTTCGAGGAAAACGACTGGCCTTTCTGGTGGCTTGGGTAATTCTCCAGCAGCACCTATTACCATAAATGTTTGACCCTATTCAATATAGAAATTAACTGCCGTTTCTCAAGATGAGGTATAACGAGAGCGCCCTACTTCTTTAGGAGCAATTTTTAACCAGTTCGAATCGTCCTGCAGTAGCCAAGCATGTCAGCAACCAGAATACGATATATTGCAGCGTATATAGGTGCATGTATGCCCATGCACGGAAAGAAATGCAAATTTCAGGCGTCAACTCTGGCAGGTCATGAAGCGCCCCAGCATACACTCAACAATAACGCCCTGCCCGTGACGCCGCCAACACATGCACCGGAGATAACACCCACGGTACACAGTAAATGCAGAGCTCACCTTCAACACTCCACCTTTCACCATGACCTTCATCCTATCCACAGGCACGCCTGTGCGTTCGTAAACCTTCTGCTTGAAGGCGGACGGCGGAGCGTCCGTGTCAAGAGTGATGCCGTCGTGCACCTTGCCATCGTGCTTGATCTTTACTTTAAGTGGAGGCATCGCGTCTCGTTAAGCTTGATTAGTCTTCTACGTGTTTTGAAGTAAGATGGATGGTGGCCGATGCAGAGAAGGCGAGTGACGCGTACAAAGTTTGAAAGTTGAATGCAGGCTGAGGTCAGACACGAACTCGGTGCATTACGCGTTCTCCCAGTTTGGAAGCCCTTTGATCTTCGGTCACTTGCCATTCTGGGCTATTATAATAAGGAACGAAAATACAAATATATCAAAATATGTCGAGGGGACGTACTCTACTGGTCTCTAGTGTAGAAATGTTATGTCAGTTGGGTAGCTGTGGTAATGCAGCTTTGCAGAGCAGAAATAGCGAATAATATAGGGAAGAGCAGCTGCCACCTGTAATTATTTACAAGGAACAACTTATGTAAACAGCATCCCAAGGGCTTAGGTCCGCTACTTTGACAATGCTCCACTGGTAGCTCTCTAAATTTACGAAATTAGATATCTTAACAGCCACTGTATGTTCCTCAACAATGTTCATTGCGAATTTCGGTAAATTAATATTAATTCTAACAACCAAGTGCGAATTGAAATGAGCTTCCAGCACGTGACTATGACCTTCCGAATTCCACCGTCAAGTATTCATTTCACTCAAGTCCACCAACAATTATCTATGCTACGTGCTCGCCTAGTAAGCCCTTTATGTCTTGACTGCCAACAAAAGAAACTAATGAACAAAATAGCCGAGGAGGGCGCTCTTCAGCGCTGCAGCTGCAGCCGCCATCGCCGTCGCCCCACGCGAAGAAAAGCCTCCCATCTACCCTGTCCCCGAACCTCAACTCGTCCTCATTGACACACCCTCAGAACTCGAGCGTCAGATTCGCTTAGGTCGAGAACGGTTAACTGCGAGGTATGCGGACTCGTATGCGTATGTGCAAGGGTGGGTGGACAGGTGGATTGGTGTTGAGCAGGCTGTTGAACGTATGTGTGCGAATTTCAAGCTTTTTCTTTCAGGATTTTATTAAATTTTTATTTGTGTAATTTATTGTAGAGCGAATAAAGAGTTTCAAGGCTCCTGACGAACAGCTCACACCGGGTATTCTCTATGTCGGCGTCGCAACGCTCTCAGGATCCATCCTCGCACGCTCAAGAGGTCTACCTACACGTTTCCTCCTCCCACCAACTCTCTTCCTCCTCTCATTCAACCACTTCCTACCAAAAACCACTTCGAACATAGGCGCATATGTCTCAGACCTCGAACATACATACGCACCACGTGCTGCACAGTTCACTGACACTGCTGTCGCACATACGCAGATGACATGGGAGATGGCGAAGGATAAAGTTGGTGAAGGGAGAGCAGCGTTGGAACGTGGTGTTGAGAGTGCTGTCGGTTCAGTGCAGGGTGCGACTGGACTTAAACTTCGAGAGGCGCTCGGGATGTCTCGGGCGTTTGGAAAGGTTGCTGAGGAAAGAGGACGGGAGGCTCTGACGGTTGCAGAAGGGCAGGGTAAAGCTGCGCTGCATGTTGCGGAAGAGAAGGGAAGGGAAACGGCGAAGAAGATTGAAGATGCTGTTGAGAAGAAGGTAGATGAGGTGAAGAGGCTTGTGTAGCGTGAAAAAAAATAGATTAATTGTTTCGTCGAATGGACATATTGCGTATTAAGTTGGCACAACGTCTAGAGTGTCATTTCCATGCTCAGAATAGTTTCTACTTTTTCTTCGGTGTAGATTTGGCATTTGCTTTTGAAGGTGAAGTGTTTGACCTATGGCACATTGACGCATTATCAAAAAACAATAAATCATTACCCGTTTGTCTCGAACCAGAAAAAGTTCAACTTACCCTGCCTGGATCGAATTATCCCCATCAGCAGCAGCAACAACCCACTCGTCTCCCATCTCCACACCTCCCAACTCCTCAAATTTCCTGCGAAATCGACCTAAACGACCGGTACCCGCACCCTCTACATCCTCCGGGTTGCTTCCTGCAAGCCATGGATTCCATAACGGATTATTCGTCGTATCTCGCGTGAGCTTGATAGAAGAACGCGGGGATGTTGTCCAGTGGATGAAGGTGCTTCCGTCGGAGAGTATAACGCGTTGTGGGAAGTGTGGGACGACGGGGTTGGGGAGCTTTGGGGCGCGACGACGCCAGACGTGTGTACGGCCATAGGGTGAGGAGGATACGCTTCGTGAGAGAGATAATGTTGGTGGTACGAACTTGAGAGTACGTTGGTAGGGCAGGAGACCCATTGGAGTGAACTATGGTAGACTCTACAATGAAAAAGTAAAGAGTCTCATTGATCATAGTCGTCTTACGTAATACATTTTTTATTACTGAGAGATATCAAATTCAGCAACGAGATAATATAGCACTTGTTGTGTCTACTTGCACGGCTCTCAGGTCTCTCATAGCTCTAAAAAACCTGGAATGGAGGGGCAGAAGTTTGATTAGCATGTAGGCTGGCATCGCTTCCTTGATTGCTTTCTGTATTTTTATTTTATTTTTATTATAAACATTTGAAAAGATTATAGAACCTTAATAGCAAATACTATCTAACATTATATATTCAGGAAAGGCTCTCTACAGACTCCCGGCATTACTTTCGACTCTCATCTGCCCAAGTATTAGTAATTGTTACTTGTTTATAGAAATATTATGAAATTGTTGGTATGGGTAACAAATGTTATAGGATACAATTATTTATGAAACATTCAATTTGTCAATATAAAAATTAAATGCTTATATGCTCTAAAGCCTAGTTTTATAGTTACACATTGTAAATACCATGTTCAAAGATATATCATGAATAATAAATAGTACCACAGTATTCCAAATATATTAGCTACAATTCAAAAGGCACCAATACTAGTCTCTGGCTACTACGAGTTCTAGGCAGGCACATATTATATCAGCTAGACAATCATTCCACAATATTACCGGTAGTCTGCAGGCCAGAATGTTCTGGAACGCAGACATCCCAAGAAAGTGCAGTTGGAATTATCCCGACTGGACCGTAACGCTCTTCTCGAAGATTGATGAGCATCCTCGGAGCGAGGATCGTCACGATTGTTATCACAATTGTTTGGTATGCGTTTGATCCAAATTTGTTGAAGTCAACAAAAAACGGATTGTTCTGGTGAAGGGTTGATAAATGTATTACAAAGTCACAAGTATTCATAGAGTCAACTCACAATACTAACGGGGCTTTCGTCAGCGATGAATACTAAAATTGCCCCCAGAAGACATATTGAGAATATACTAAGATTGTTTAATAGACAATACAAGAGAAGCAGACAATGAAACACGTACATAGCAAAGTACATGATAGAGTCTCGCGCCATTAATGTGATAATGTGCTCTGCTCGTGGTAGTTCATCCCTTGGATTGTCCATCGCAAGCTTTGACCGTTTCAGCTGTACAGACTTCCAGAGAGTCAGAACGAACAGAATCATTTCGAAAAAGGCAGTCAGTGTCCATGCAACGCCAGACATATGAGGTGAGGCTAGACACCCAAATCCTTTCATGGAAGAACGTGGAAGAGCGCTTCTTCCCTTGTCCCACAAAGCTTGAATGACACGTTCGAAAAAGCTTTTCAGAATTTATCACACAATAAGAATGGAATGCCTCACTAAGATCTAAAGTGAGTTGCAAGACGTTGAAGCCAAACAGGAGTACCGCCAATGTAACAAACACAACAAGCAATTCTCTGGTTGCCCCAAATAATGCATAGATACGCATCATGAGTATCACTGGATTAAGGAAGTCATTGGCATTCGACACATAGCAGAATAGCCTGAGATAAGATCACCTTCGGCTAGAGTTATTATCGTGGTGCCCAATCCAGTATATAGACGAGCGAATAAACCTATAATATATCACACTACTCTCAGTGAAATCCACTCAATCGTCGCCATTACTCACAAGAATCAACAAGGTACCCTACACCTTTCAACTGGCAGGACGTTAGAGCAATCATCAGGAAAAAGTCACATTTCTTATAATATATTTTAGACTTTGTAAAGTAACATAAGTATTGTATGTATATTGTAAAGTAATTACAAGACTTGTAAATCAATTGTAAAGTTTGTATAAGACATGTCAATGTATATAAAGGCTAAGTAAGTGTTATGAATGAATACAATCTATTACAAGTATTATACTAACTTTGTATAATAGTACTAAGTATTATGCTTGCATTACATTTTTATTATAATTTTAAAGAAAGGGTGATATTGACAATATAATAATAATATTGTTGTTGTTGTTGCCTTCTAATTTATGCAAAAGGTATATTAATGTATATAATAGTGTAAGAGCACTTGTTGTATCATTATTATCTTAATAAAAGTATACTATAAGTATATAATATGTATATTATACTTGGACTATCTATACAAATAGTTTACAATATTTGTAAAAGTTATTTCATCTACTTGTAATAATTACATAAGTGTGTTTAGAAAGCTATATACTTGTCATATTACTTTTTACTATATTACAAAGTAGATCAATTATTTATTTTATACCTAAATACAATAATTGAAATGTTCTATCAGTTGACGACTCATATTATAGTTGCTTATGTAATCAACTGCTGAAGATCGAGAGCATATAATGACGCATTTCTCTTCGTCACTCCTTTACCTCCTACCTTCACCATCTCCCCAACCCTCTGCCCCCAACGCTATGTCGTCGCTTCTGTTCTCTCTAGTCAAGTCCTCTGCTCGCAAGCGTCCTACCAGCAGGCACTCCGCCTGCTACAACATAGACAATAAACATCACTGTACTCGTCTCTCCAATCTGCTGTTGCGATGCCCGCGCTGAGCCTCAGATCGCGCAATGATGCTACTGAGCTGACTACACTGTCCTTCAACATAAAGCGTAAGCAGCCAGTCCACTTCACATAACCTGCACATAGTTGCTCATCCATCTCCTCCCAACTTTTT